GAGATGTGTATAAGAGACAGCCTCCCCTCTCCTTTCGTTTTTAATCGAATGAAGAATAAATTAACACGCGCGGCTAAATGCGAAAGTACATCAAGCGCGTCAAAGAGCGTCAAGTAATTTACACTCAGTATCGCATTAACGCATTCGGAAGAAGTATCGTAAATAAATATCTGGGATAGAGCGTTTTACGCGGGTACCGCGAATTAATGCTGGCGCGCCGATTTCCTGCAATCCAGGAATTCAAAAATAAATTGAAACTTTAATCAAAGCTCCGCGCGCGCGCGCCCGCTGTTAACACTGTTTGTTTACCGTAAGCGAGTGACGGTACCTTTTGCTTCTGGGACGTGTATGTGTGTGCATTCGATATTTCACAAAAAGCATCTGGAGTGAAAAGTCCGTTTTTGGGGATAATGGTATTTTACACGTATTACCCATATCGAGCGCTTATTATTATATCGATAAAATTACACGTCGAGACATTTTATAAACGCGCGTAGGCGTTTGGGATTGAGTCTCGAAAAAAAAAAGTGGCGGGAAGGCGAAGACCGCGGCACGTTCGTCCGCTCGATCCGATGCAGACGTCTGGAATTAATGGTCGCGTCGCGCCGATTCTCGTTGACTATACGCTCAAGTAGAAGCGGACCGGATGGAAGTAGCGGCGGTCCGGTTTTAGCTCTTCTCGTAACGCGCGCCCGCGCGCGCTACGCCGATAAATGCCTCGGCAAACTTCATTAAAGTCAGGTCGCCCGCCTTTGTACCACCCGGCCGCGCCGCTTCGGCTTGTGACGCCAGAGAGGGAATGTTATTATTATATCGTTGCCGGACGTTAATTAGCGAAAATACGTGGCAATTCTGATAATGTTAAATTTCGTTTGTTGCAACATCCGACCGGGCGCCGCCGTTGTTTTGAAGAACTCGCGGGCTACCATGTCCCTTCCCCCCCGCCTCTCTGCACTTTTACACGCGTTCTTTGACGACTCCGCCGGCATTGTTCCCGACGTCATTAGCCCGCTAATTAGGAGCTGTAACATTACGCGAGATTGGTTTGGAGGAAAACATAAGCGCGCTTTAATTAGCGTCGCCCGGGCGTGGAAAAATCGATGAAACGGTTTTCCGCAGTTTTACACGTCGACATTTGAGAACGCACCTATCTAAATTCATCCCCGACAAAATTCACGTCGATATAACGCGAGAGAACTGAAGAGATAAATTGATTGCCACAATTAAGATATTAAAGCGGCACGTATGTGGGGCGAAACGTTTCGTAATTTTCGTTCTTTTCACCTACAGTTTCTTTGAGATTTTTCGTGAATGACAATTTTCTTTAACTTTTAATTTTCAATATTAGACAATTCCATTATTAAATAGTTGAGCCAAGTAAGAAATGATAATTAAAGTAGGGCGCGTCATTAAAGTATAAATTTTGTAATCTATTAAATTTAGAACGTAATCCAAATGTCTTTCTTCATCCGTATTTCAGTAATCGATTTTTTAAATAGAAATCTATGTGTAATTTCGCAAAAACTAAAGGCAATAATTGTGTGGCACTTTGCACACAGTTTCGATTAATCGGAAATCGATATGTATTCGACTAATATTACATGAAACGTATAGTCGTCCAGCATAATACAATATACAGACCGTGGTGTAACATTTTGTGACAATTGATACGTTATCGCATACGAAATCAATAAATCAAACCGCGTTGGCGCGTCCACTCTGAAAATGCAACGCGCGTATTAATTAAAATGTCAATTTGCATGCGTATGCGTATGCAAATAAGAGCAATGTAATTGTGCGGCGCAATCGAATCGAGGAAAATTCATTAAGATGGTATATATACCGTTAGATTCGTTTAAAGAGAAAATTCGTGGAAACTTGATGTCATTCTCGCTTAAGTTTGTTTAAAGAAATAACGCAATTTCGCGGAAAGTAAAACGTCGCGACGTCGTTGGGTGAATGGGATTTTAAATTGACGTGCCGCGGTACGGAAGAAAGAAGAAGCGAATGAGGGCGAACGCAGGGGAGGCAGGGATGAAAGAAAAAGATGAAGAGAGAAACACACGGGGCGTCCCGGAAGGGTGAGAAAGACGGAAAATAAGACGATGAGAAGTGGTGAGAAGCGCGAACGGCATGGATCCCGAGTGGAGTGAATGAGCGAGAATTGAAGGCCGCAGCTTCCATTCCAGCTGTGGCCTTCAAGAACCCCAACCCCTGTGTGAAAATCAATGTGAGCCGCTACTCTGTGCGGTCTCTCGCTACTAACCGTTCTGATAACGTGGCCTTCTCCTCACCCTCCCGCCCTTGTCGTGCATCTAAAAATACACGTGCGTCTTTATGCGGAAAGTGAAGTCCCTACCAAACGCGGTCCTCTGCGTGCAGTGGCAGTCCTGCATCCCCCGGAAGATATCCATGCCGTTTCAGCTTCTCGTGCGCGCGAGATACATCTCTCGGGGGACGATTAGAAAAGTTAATTTCGACAGCGAGGAGCGTAAAAATAAGAGCTAAGTCGCATTTACAAGAAACCGGGTTGATATAATAATACAACGATCTTATATAAGTACAATAATGCTCTCTCTGGGAGCTTCCTCGCGCCTCTGCGACGACGCGTCTACCCTTTTCTCTCTCTTTCAGAATTTAATTTTCATGTTTCACAAAGAGAGAAAGAGAACGCTGGACTCGTCAGTTCTTTTTGACGGTGCGATGAAATGCTGACAGTGCAAACGTTTAAAAGGCGGTACCTCGCGCGCGGCATCCCGCCGCGCCGTGTGTCTAAGGTGCCGCTATGAGCGCGGCGGCCGCGGCGCGCTATTAATTAGCGCGCGCGTTACTCAAGAGGCGTGATACCGGTATACCTGGCATATATTATATCGCGCGACGTTCTCTCTAGGATGTGTGTGCGCCACGCGCGAATGCAAACGGAACGTAATTAACGGCGGGGTGGATTGAGATATATATGCCCACGGCTCGCGCGGGGTCTATTTCGAAGTTTCTACATTTTGCGATGCGCCGAACGTGGCAGAACAATTCCATATATTAGCGGGGAGTAACGATAGTGCAAATTGGGCGAATCGTAACGTTCATTATCCGCCCGGCGATTATGCACCGTTACCGCACTTTGCGGCCTATGCTATGTAGATGCAATTGCGATCTGTCGTACTTGGCTAAATACGATTCGCATAATTGATGGATTGTATATAGTTAATTATTATACGCGGATTCGACCATCAGTGCGCCTTGCCTGCAGCAATTAGTTAATTATGACGTCGCACGATAAATCGACAATTTCGCGCATTCAAGAGGAGGGGGGGTGGGGGGATTAGGAATACCCTCAAATCCAGACGTAACACCTTCATTTCGATTTCTGTTCCGCGAAACCGCGTTGTCGGTTTCAACTGACTGTGCTCGTAAATTCGCGCTCATCGGCTTCCCTCCGACGCGTCGAACGAATGATATGACGAGGACACCAGCTTTCGCGGCCAATTAGCGTTAATTTATTTGGCCATATACTTAGCTCTGATTATCTCATGCAATCGTGCAGTGGCAACTTTAAAATGGCCCGCCACGTACGCGTTCTCATTAATGCAACATAATTTTTTACCCAAAGCTCGCGAGTTACGCTAATTTTCCCGCGTTTACATAACGCGTGCACATGCAATGAAGTAGCGGAGGGAGGAGGGGGGGGGGAGGGTCTACATTTTACGCGGCGCGTTTTTCTTCCCTTTTTTTTCCTTCGAAGCGTTCCGGAGAAGAGGGCTCGGAAAAGCGAAGAGCATATCAAACACCCGGATATTACGCATCGCGTAACTTCATCGTAATCCCGATGTAACGAAGCGAGTGGACGTGGCTGCAGGAAAGGAGGTGGGGCAGAAAAAAAACGCGCGTATATATCGGACTGATATTTTCCGGCGAGTTGGTAGCCGAGGCATCCGGGATGCGCGATCAGCATATGTATTATATGCGCGCACGGCGAAGAGAGAAAGAGAGAGAGAGCTGTTTACTCGCTCGTAAATTTGCCTCGTTGCATATTTGCCTACGCACGCAAGCGGCGCACACACACACACACACACACACACACGCACACGCACGCACGCGTCCGTATAATAAAACGTTTCCGCTCGCCTTTTCAGCGTGTGTTGGAAAAACGAAATGTTAACGACACAGGGGCGTACGTTTCCGCGTCTGCTGCGTAAACGTTTTCATTCTGCTTGTCGAAAAAAGGGGGCGGGGAGGAGAGGGAGAGGAAAAAGAAACGGCGCAGAGCGCCGCGGGCTACGCGCGCTGCTCTTATTCGCTCCCCCTCGCAGCCGAGGCATTTTTTTAATCAGAGTAACTCGGTTACTCGCGCGCGAGAATTTCGCGAGTTTACCTTATTATGTCGCGTTAATTAAGAGATCGCGAGCCGTTGGGGGGATAGGTATTCGTATATACGCGCGAGCTCTATACGGAAATAGCTCAAAGAAAATGAGCGATAATATACTGCCGTTCGGCGAAAACGCCCGCGCCGTTTCGAAAGTTCACGCATGCACGCTACTTCGTACGTACATGCAGGAGTGTTTAATGAGCATGCTACACATTCTCGATTGCATTTCGTTGAATAAACAGATATAGCAAATTGATGAAGAAATGGCCACGCACGCTCCGCGGAAAGTTTTATGGATTCCTGAAATGTGGAGTTCTAAACTAAGTTTCTCCCCTTC